GGTCAGGGCTTTGGGGAGGGTCAGGTGGGGGGTCAGGGCTGTGGGGAGGGTTAGGTGGGGGGTCAGGGCTGTGGGGAGGGTTAGGTGGGGGGTCAGGGCTTTGGGGAGGGTTAGGTGGGAGGTCAGGGCTTTGGGGAGGGTCAGGTGGGGGGTCAGGGCTTTGGGGAGGGTTAGGTGGGGGGTCAGGGCTTTGGGGAGGGTTAGGTGGGGGGTAAGGGCTTTTGGGAGGGTTAGGTGGGGGTCAGGGCTTTGGGGAGGGTTAGGTGGGGGGTCAGGGCTCTGGGGAGGGTTAGGTGGGTGGGTCAGGGCTCCAGACAGGGTTAGGTGGGGGGTCAGGGCTTTGGGGAGGGATAGGTGGGGGTCAGGGCTTTGGGGAGGGTCAGGTGGGGGGTCAGGGCTTTGGGGAGGGTTAGGTGGGGGGTCAGGGCTCTGGGGAGGGTTAGGTGGGTGGGTCAGGGCTCCAGACAGGGTTAGGTGGGGGGTCAGGGCTTTGGGGAGGGATAGGTGGGGGGTAAGGGCTTTTGGGAGGGTTAGGTGGGGGTCAGGGCTCTAGAGAGGGTCAGGTGGGTGGGTCAGGGCTGTGAGGAGGAACAAGGTGGGGAGAAAGAGCAGAACAAAGTCAACAAACTTAATTTTAAGTTATCTTGTGCACCCAACAAGTTTCCTGGTCGAAGTGTGTCAATCGGTGTGTAGTAATTGTCAAACTGTCTCAGAAACGCCTCGCCATGTGTCTTATAAGTAAATATATCAATAAATCAATCATATATAATGTTCAAATAATAACATTAGGAATTTAAAGTAAGTAAATTTTAAAACTATTGTGTACTGGAGAGACTGAGGTGGCGTTCTCGTGAGCGACAATAACACAAGGAAGGCAACTGAAGTATTGCAGAACTGGGCTTGTCATGCAACCAGTCTTGCCAGACTCACACACACACACACACACACACCCACACACACACACACACACACACACACACACACTCATACACACACTCATACACACACACACACTCATACACACACACACACTCATACACACACACACACCCACACACCCACACACACACACACACACACACACACACACACACACACACACACACACACACACACACACACACACACACACACTCATACACACACACACACACACATACACGTACACACACACCCACACACACACACACACACACACTCACACACGTACACACACACACACACACACACACACACACACACACTCATACACGTACACACACACACGTACACACCCACACACAACCACCATGAGAATATTTTCACTCGGATCTCTCCGAATTCCTCTGACACACACACACACACACATATTGGGAATTCCTTCAGCCGTTCTTCAATTCCATCGGCTGTTGGTGTTACTGGCGGTGTTTTCTCTGCTGACGCTGTTTGTGCCAAGCTTGTATTGCTCTCATTGTATTCTGTTGTAAATACCGTTTTTTGGCACTACTGAAGAGGCCGTTTCTGCTCTGTATAATAATGCTGTTGGCGCTGTTGTTGATAATTAGTTTCAAGTGCAGCTGTTGGTGTTTGTGCTGCACACAATGAACAAGCTCGATGATCGAGAGCTGCCCACTGTGCTGTACAGAAAGTAATCCGGCATTGGTTTAACTTGAAGTCGATTCTGACACCTTCGCGGTGGTTAAATCTTCTTTCAGCGATGAAGAAAGATTAGTTTTCAATATATTTTCCAAAAAATTATTCACATTGCTGACTGTCACAAGTCTCCGGGTCCACCTGCGGCCAGCCACCTGCAGCAGAATCATCAGTCAAACTTGCATAAGTCTTTTCACTAATTCTAATTATATATTTTTGTAAGTTAAAGGAGCAGCGATGAATGGCTAAGATCCTTTTAAGACCTTCCATTTGTTCATCCTGAGTGTCTTTGCATGCCTGAGATGCAACAAACCTTCCTAATGGGCTAAAAGAAGTGACTTCAACCTTCACTGACTTGCTGATGTCATTTCTAATCAGCAACCAGCGGTAGAATGGTTTTCATTTCATTTTCAATTCGATTTCCATTTGTCCTCATGCCTCACTTGCTTCATCCTGATTGGTCGGCTGATCCAGCTCATCTCTAACTGCTCAACCATCTGCATAAAATGTGACATTTGAAAATATCAGACTATCTCTCAAGCTTTTCTAACCATTCTATTGCAACATGTTCATACGTTAACATCTTCAAGTATATAGAACAATCAGGAATGAGCTAGCAATATTTTACGGAATTCCAAAGCCCTCTAAACATAGTTTTAACAATGCTGTACAGCAGTCCCTGTGGTGTAGTGGTTAAGATGGTCGCCTGACGTTTCCGGAGCGCTTTATCCTGGGTTCGTATCCTGGCCGGGGCGGATTTACTGGGCGCAAATCCTTAACTGTAGCCTCTGTTTAACTCAACAGTAAAATAGGTACCTGAGTGTTAAACGATTTTTTGCGGGGTCGTATTCCAGGGAACATAGGATTAAGGACTTGCCAGAAACGTTACGCGTACTAGTGACTGTACAAGAATGTAAGAAATCTTGTATATATAAATAAAAAATTAAATGCTGTCATCTTCAGGCTGTACAATACTGCTGTTTAGACGAGGGGTAACGTTATGTTGTATGAGGACGTGAGCGTTACAGCATACTTGACTACCGTAGAGTAGTCCTACACCTGACCTCTGCTACTTGCTACACACGTCTCACAATGAACTAACAGCGGTCCCCCTCGGAAAATTAATTCACGTATTTTCCCCTAGATAACATTGAATTATTGCAACCTCTTCAAGTTTAGCGAGCCTCGCCATCGAGGACGTGTCCACCAGGAGTCTAGTGCAGTATTCAGCTGGTATATATCCACCACAGTCATTGCCGTCACCACCAGCACCACCAACATCACCACCAGCATCACCAACATCACCACCAGCATCATCACTAACATCAATACCACCATTATCACCACTACCATCTCCAACATCATCAACACCACGACCATCACCATCAGCACCAACATCAATACCACCATTATCACCACTACCATCTCCAACATCATCAACACCACCACGACCATCACCATCAACTCACTCATCACTACTTGACACTATTTGTTGTCATGACACAAAGCTGAGAGGTGCCAGGTGCCGAGGCAGAAGGGGAGGGAGAGAGGGAGAGAGGGAGGTGCCTGGGAGTGCCAGGGCACTAGAGTGCCAGGTGAGAGAGAGAGCACGGGGCCACGCTTGGCACCCGGGCCACTAAGAAGGATGGATGTCTCCCGAGGCTCAAGGACTTACGTCGGGTAATCCTATAATGTGCACATCACTTGGCCAGGAGTTGTGGGGTGTTACACTAACACCAGACGAGGAGGAGGAAGAGGAGAGGATAATGATAGAATGGGGTTAAGGAAGACACAGAAACCTGAGGACGAATGGAAGTAACATGAAAGGACAAGTGAAGCATAAATATAGTTAAGAGGAGAGTTAAATATTCGGTTACAGGAAGGGTTAAGGGAAAGGTTAACATAAGGGCTTAGATAAAGGAGATTATGTGTTAATGGTCAGGGAGACTTGTGAAGGGTTTTGTGTAGATGAAGAGAAGTAAAGATAAAAACAGTGAATGGATGATTGATGATCGAGGAAGTAGATTAGTGGCAGTAGAGGATAGAAAGAGGAAGTGGAGAATAAAACATTGATGAATCTTGGATGATAAGAGGGATGGAAGATAGGGAGGTAATGAGATGACGGAAGAAGAGAGGAGACAGTGGGAAGATAGCATTAAGGAAGGTAGACGAAAGAGAGGTTATCTTGGTTATCTCAGTTATCTTGACATAATTTAGCGTCCCAGGGAGCCGGTCCTCGACCAGGTCTCCTTTTTGTTACACATCCCCAGGAAGCAGCTCGTAGCAGCTGTCTAATTCCCAGGTACCTATTTACTACTAGGTGAACAGGGGCCATCAAGGTGAAAGAAACTCTGCCCATTTGTTTCAGCCTCCGGGAATCGAACCCGAAACCTTACTACTACGAATCCCAAGCGTTATCCACTCAGCCGTCAGGCCCCTAGTCAGGTGTAGGACGATCACTGACATCACAGTGAGGGACTTGTTAACTAGTGGAATAGTCACAAGGTTGGCTAGTGGGTTTCCCACCTAACTAGACCAACAGTCCACCAGAATCCAGGGAGCCGGTCGGCCGAGCGGACAGCACGCGGGACTTGTGATCCTGTGGTCCTGGGTTCGATCCCAGGCGCCGGCGAAACAATGGGCAGAGTTTCTTTCACCCTATGCCCCTGTTACCTAGCAGTAAATTAGGTACCTGGGTGTTAGTCAGCTGTCACGGGCTGCTTCCTGGGGGTGGAGGCCTGGTCGAGGACCGGGCCGCGGGGACACTAAAGCCCCGAAATCATCTCAAGATAACCTCAAGATATAACCTGACCCCATCCTGCCAGCCCACTAACTGGTCTGGGAGACACAAGATAACACCAAGCACGGTGTACAAGATAACACCAAGCAAGGCGTACAAGATAACACCAAGCAAGGCGTACTAGATAACACCAAGCACGGCGTACAAGATAACACCAAGCAAGGCATACAAGATAACACCAAGCAAGGCGTACTAGATAACACCAAGCACGGCGTACAAGATAACACCAAGCACGGCGTACTAGATAACACCAAGCACGGCGTACTAGATAACACCAAGCACGGCGTACTAGATAACACCAAGCAAGGCGTACAAGATAACACCAAGCAAGGCGTACAAGATAACACCAAGCACGGCGTACTAGATAACACCAAGCAAGGCGTACTAGATAACACCAAGCACGGCGTACTAGATAACACCAAGCACGGCGTACTAGATAACACCAAGCAAGGCGTACAAGATAACACCAAGCACGGCGTACAAGATAACACCAAGCAAGGCGTACTAGATAACACCAAGCACGGCGTACAAGATAACACCAAGCAAGGCGTACTAGATAACACCAAGCACGGCGTACTAGATAACACCAAGCAAGGCGTACAAGATAACACCAAGCACGGCGTACAAGATAACACCAAGCAAGGCGTACTAGATAACACCAAGCACGGCGTACTAGATAACACCAAGCAAGGCGTACAAGATAACACCAAGCACGGCGTACAAGATAACACCAAGCAAGGCGTACTAGATAACACCAAGCACGGCGTACAAGATAACACCAAGCACGGCGTACAAGATAACACCAAGCACGGCGTACTAGATAACACCAAGCAAGGCGTACAAGATAACACCAAGCACGGCGTACAAGATAACACCAAGCAAGGCGTACTAGATAACACCAAGCACGGCGTACAAGATAACACCAAGCAAGGCGTACAAGATAACACCAAGCAAGGCGTACTAGATAACACCAAGCAAGGCGTACAAGATAACACCAAGCAAGGCGTACTAGATAACACCAAGCAAGGCGTACTAGATAACACCAAGCAAGGCGTACAAGATAACACCAAGCACGGCGTACAAGATAACACCAAGCACGGCGTACTAGATAACACCAAGCACGGTGTACTAGATAACACCAAGCAAGGCGTACTAGATAACACCAAGCAAGGCGTACTAGATAACACCAAGCAAGGCGTACTAGATAACACCAAGCAAGGCATACAAGATAACACCAAGCAAGGCGTACAAGATAACACCAAGCAAGGCATACAAGATAACACCCTGGTGAGAGCGGTGGGCTGCGCCAGGAGCGTCTAACATCACTCGCTGCGTGAAGGCGCGGGTAATTAACATGGAGATTACCGGTGAACAAGGAGCCATTACACCAACAATTGGACAACGCATTTGGACTTAATTTAACCATGATAGAGACAAACTATGTTTGTGTTCTTGTATAGTTTTCAGCGCCTGTTAACAAAGAGAAACAAGTGTGGGAACACACTTTGATAAAGGAGAAAGTTTAGAGCACCCAGTAACATATATAAATCTAAATGAAGAACTCCGTCTACACTTGACATTTAATCTTAGACGAAATGAAAATCCCGCAGCATTGCTGCAAGACACAGCAGGAGAGTCCTGGCTGTGGTACAGGAGCCAGACACAGCAGGAGAGTCCTGGCTGTAGTACAGGAGCCAGACACAGCAGGAGAGTCCTGGCTGTGGTACAGGAGCCAGACACAGCAGGAGAGTCCTGGCTGTGGTACAGGAGCCAGACACAGCAGGAGAGTCCTGGCTGTGGTACAGGAGCCAGACACAGCAGGAGAGTCCTGGCTGTGGTACAGGAGCCAGACACAGCAGGAGAGTCCTGGCAGTGGTACAGGAGCCAGACACAGCAGGAGAGTCCTGGCAGTGGTACAGGAGCCAGACACAGCAGGAGAGTCCTGGCTGTGGTACAGGAGCCAGACACAGCAGGAGAGTCCTGGCAGTGGTACAGGAGCCAGACACAGCAGGAGAGTCCTGGCAGTGGTACAGGAGCCAGACACAGCAGGAGAGTCCTGGCTGTGGTACAGGAGCCAGACACAGCAGGAGAGTCCTGGCAGTGGTACAGGAGCCAGACACCGCAGGAGAGTCCTGGCTGTGGTACAGGAGCCAGACACAGCAGGAGAGTCCTGGCTGAGGTACAGGAGCCAGACACAGCAGGAGAGTCCTGGCTGTGGTACAGGAGCCAGACACAGCAGGAGAGTCCTGGCTGTGGTACAGGAGCCAGACACAGCAGGAGAGTCCTGGCTGTGGTACAGGAGCCAGACACAGCAGGAGAGTCCTGGCAGTGGTACAGGAGTCAGACACAGCAGGAGAGTCCTGGCTGTGGTACAGGAGCCAGACACAGCAGGAGAGTCCTGGCTGTGGTACAGGAGTCAGACACAGCAGGAGAGTCCTGGCTGTGGTACAGGAGCCAGACACAGCAGGAGAGTCCTGGCAGTGCTACAGGAGCCAGACACAGCAGGAGAGTCCTGGCAGTGGTACAGGAGCCAGACACAGCAGGAGAGTCCTGGCTGTGGTACAGGAGCCAGACACAGCAGGAGAGTCCTGGCTGTGGTACAGGAGCCAGACACAGCAGGAGGGTCCTGGCTGTGGTACAAGAGCCAGACACAGCAGGAGAGTCCTGGCTGTGGTACAGGAGCCAGACACAGCAGGAGAGTCCTGGCAGTGGTACAGGAGTCAGACACAGCAGGAGAGTCCTGGCTGTGGTACAGGAGCCAGACACAGCAGGAGAGTCCTGGCTGTGGTACAGGAGCCAGACACAGCAGGAGAGTCCTGGCAGTGGTACAGGAGCCAGACACAGCAGGAGAGTCCTGGCTGTGGTACAGGAGCCAGACACAGCAGGAGAGTCCTGGCTGTGGTACAGGAGCCAGACACAGCAGGAGGCTCCAGGCAGCAGTACAGGAACCAGACACAGCAGTAGTGGGAGTGATCGTCCGCTTCCATGTGTCATTCACAGCCCAGTGATTATTTCAGCAAAGTTAAATCACCCGAGGGAGGCTAATTATTCTCGTTGGCATTAATTAACTAGTTCCGTAGTCGCGTGATTAAGGAAACTATTGTGTGTGGAGGTTTGTGGCCCAGAGTGACAGCGGGGAACTAGCCTCACTCCCCCACACTACACAACGTGTAGGAGGACCTCACAGCACACTTACCTCTGCTCTAATAGAGGTAAGTGCTCTACTCCACACCATCCTCACACATCATGCCACACTCAGATCACTCCTTCCACGTCACGATAACTGATCCCTCTCTATATTCCCTCAATACGACAACCATTGTGACCAATCTCCATCACCCTCATGTGTCTTCCACAGTCATTCCTGCCTTCCTGTATCTCCTCCAAGACTCATTCCTCCCTCATAAACAGCGCTAATTGAGACTGTGTCCACATGTTTCCTTACGCATGTTGAAGAGTGGACGTGATGACTGGAGAGTGGACGTGATGACTGGAGAGTGGACGTGATGACTGGAGAGTGGACGTGATGACTGGAGAGTGGACGTGATGACTGGAGAGTGGACGTGATCACTGGAGAGTGGACGTGATGACTGGAGAGTGGACGTGATCACTGGAGTGTGGACTTGATCACTGGAGAGTGGACTTGATCACTGGAGAGTGGACTTGATCACTGGAGAGTGGACTTGATCACTGGAGAGTGGACGTGATCACTGGAGTGTGGACTTGATCACTGGAGAGTGAACTTGATCACTGGAGAGTGGACTTGATCACTGGAGAGTGGACTTGATCACTGGAGAGTGGACTTAATCACTGGAGAGTGGACGTGATGACTGGAGAGTGGACGTGATGACTGGAGAGTGGACTTGATCACTGGAGAGTGGACTTGATCACTGGAGAGTGGACGTGATGACTGGAGAGTGGACGTGATGACTGGAGAGTGGACTTGATCACTGATAAGACAACTTCATCACAATGAAGAAAATTTGTGATTTAATTAAGGAATTTTAAATATTAATTGATCAGCCTTTCAGAGGCCACTGAAACATTACGAGTTTCAGACTTAGTGACGAGGAATATTCTTAGTGACGAGGGATATTCTTAGTGACGAGGAATATTCTTAGTGACGAGGAATATTCTTAGTGACAAGGGATATTCTTAGTGACGAGGGATATTCTTAGTGACGAGGGATATTCTTAGTGACGAGGGATATTCTTAGTGACGAGGAATATTCTTAGTGACGAGGAATATTCTTAGTGACGAGGAATATTCTTAGTGACGAGGAATATTCTTAGTGACGAGGAATATTCTTAGTGACGAGGAATATTCTTAGTGACGAGGAATATTTAGTGACGAGGAATTAGTGACGAGGAATATTCGAGGAATATTCTTAGTGACGAGGAATATTCTTAGTGACGAGGAATATTCTTAGTGACGAGGAATATTCTTAGTGACGAGGAATATTCTTAGTGACGAGGAATATTCTTAGTGACGAGGAATATTCTTAGTGACGAGGAATATTCTTGGTTTCGAGCGTTAACTTGGCAGATAAATCAAATAAAACATCAAATTATACATCACATAGATTACCGGAATAAGCAGACTATTTAAAATATATGTAATCAATAAATATGTCGGTTCGAAAACTGTTAAAAAATCCTTAATTAAGGAAAATGTAGCTTCAGTTTTCTTAGATATTAATACAATCTCGTCTCGAAGAGGATTGAGTATCCAGGAGGATTGGAGCTCTCTAAATCACGAGCAGGATTGAGCGCCTAAGAGGATTAGAGCACTTGCTTCTCAAAGAGGAATAAAGCACCAAGATTATCTAGGAAATCTCCCTCCCCTGTTAGTGAGGAAATCTCTTGTTACTTGAGAGTTTAATACAAGTAAAGTAGACGTTTATGATATAAACTTTATTGGTGATCTAACTGAAAACAATTTTCCAAGTCTGCTAGCAGTCTGAGAACTTTCTGAACTTGCAGTTAAAAGCAAATATATATTTTTTGTAAAACTATATATTTTAATTTATAAAAAATCGTTAAATACTTAAACCATCTATTTAGCGATTCATATTTATTCGTACATGACGTTAATTCACTATAAAATACAAAGAGAACGACCAAACATATATAAATAGTCTCTAGTACTACTGGTTCGTAGGAACCGAACCAGTTGAGCTATCACTCATATATAACTCATTTTGTGTAATTTCTTAATATGATTTAATATATACAACATTTTCCATACTCGACGTCATACTTAATATTGGGATTTCTTACATATGAGCAATATTGTTAGTTCTCAAACTCTGTTATGAAGGGAAACGTCACAATATGCTAAATTGGACTGATAAATGACACAGGTTTCTGTCATTTTGAGTGATCACAGAATGATAAACCACTGGACCAATCACTGAACCTGACACTGGACCTGCCACTGGACCTGACACTGGACCAATCACTGGACCTGCCACTGGACCTGCCACTGGACCTGGCACTGGACCAACCACTGGACCTGCCACTGGACCAACCACTGGACCTGCCACTGGACCTGCCACTGGATCTGGCACTGGACCTGGCACTGGACCTGGCACTGTAAATGCCACTGGAACTCTCCGTTCAAACCATATTAAAATATTAACTTCTCGTCTTATAAAATATGTTCAGTGTTTGGCGTTATCTTAAAGAGCCGTATACAATATTCACCTATAAATATTTTTGGAAACAACAATCCAACATTTTCTAGCATTTGTTTCATACAATAAATGAATACTGTGCAGTTGCTGAGAAGGGAGAGGGAGGAGCAGGAAGGAGTGGGACGAAGGATGAGTGAAGGGAATTGATGATGGATAAGATAATTACAATTAACACAAATCTCAATGGTTATAAATGCTTAAATAATAATTCTCACGGGCTACCACATGCATGAGGTTGGAGGAGGTCGCCGGGTCACCAGTTCGACCCCCATACATCACAGCACAAGATCATCTGTACGTGGGAGTCGAACGGGGGGCGGCGGGGGAAGCGGAGTTAATATTCTCCCTCATGCATCATGTTTCAAATTAATGCACAGCTTGTATATGCCAGTTCAACACAGCAGCTTCCAGAGCCACAGATTTATTTAGCCATGTCACCCTTATCAAGTGTGTTGTACCTCGCCAGTCCTCGTGAGAATAGTAATCCTTCAGTAATAATGACAACTGAAGTAGTTATTATTATTATTCTGTAAGAGAACGAACAGTATAAAATATGAGGCGTATTAATTCACTTGTCTTGACGTACTTTACCTTCACTAATAGCTTGTACTGTGGGCTTGTGACC